TCATTTCTGTTGAGCATGTGAACAAAATAGCCTGTCAGCTGTGTTTAAAGGCTAGTTTATACTTTTGCGTCAAGCACACGCTATAGTGTGGCACAGCCTTTAGTGTTGCATAGTGCTCGCCGTGGCAGATGCCAACTCGAACCTCACGATAAATTTGACTCCATATGGTCACAATGCGTAGAGCAGGCTCTGTGATTGTTCGGCTCTGTAGCTGTGCCGTGTGTGGGTGGAGCTGAGAGCGTTGAGCCCGATGGAGTGAGTGTTTACAAGTGTCGAGTCCCATGAAGGAACTCAAGATGTTTTGTGTTTACCCAACCGGCAACCTCCCGCTCTCCCTTGTGAAGCAAATACGGAAGTAACTGAAACTGCAATTTATCAAAAAATTTGCTAGTCCTGGCTCCATAAGGAGCAAATTTCGATGCACGCCACTGTTAAAATGGCCAACTTTACAGCAGAAAAAAAGGTGTTTAAATCCTGGTACAATGCAATTTTGGTTCAAATACTCACTACAACTGTGAGGGGGTAATTTTTTTTTTTTAACTCATCCGTTTTCTTTATACTAGGTTATGATTTATATGATTAACCGCTGAACTCTGCATATACATCGTATTTTAGTGTTGTTTTCTGTGCCCTTACACAGTCAGTTGCCATTTGGAATTATTTCTTACAATTATCAGATGATATGGCATAATGTGTGCTCTTATTTGTGCTCACAAACCATTCACGTGGCCTCCATTTCCCACGTGAGTGAAATTAAATACTTATTTAACATCTCTATAAATGTATTTGCTTCATTTAAGATCATTCGTCATTTATAATGTTCTTTGGACCTGTAATGCGCTCCAGAATCTGACAGATTAATTAGCTGAGGCTGTATAACCGTCATCTGAAACGTTGTCATACAATGTTAGTCCTGGATTTCAGCCTTGCATTTACTAACACAGACTATATTTAAAGTGTTTAAATGTAATTTGCATTTTCCTCATGTAGAAAAACATAAGACATAAGAAAAAAATGTATTGGCTCAATGTATTACAACAGTGTTTGTAAAAGTCTAAACACTTTATTGATATAGTATACAGCCAAGCACATATGGTCAAAACACAAACAAGTCGCAGATAATGAAGTATTAAGCGTTTCTCCCATAAAAAAGCCAGTCTAAGCAAAATGCTAGTAGGCGTCTGTAGCTCCGCCTCTTTGCCCTTGCTCGGTATCCCCCGGTTGATGCTATGAAGTGCAAACAAATTGGCGACGGTTGACCACGCCTACTAGTAGCTTCTTTTGGGTAATAATAAAATCCTGTGGGTGACGTCACGGATATGCGTTTACCCTCGGATTAAAGTTGTTGCACATCTGCCTCGTCTCTTCTCGTCTTTGAGCAAGTTTTAGCTACCTCTACATTAAGGTAGCATTCAAAACAAAACACTTGTGAAAAAACTCGACACAGAGGAACATGAAAGCCTCACTGCCAGCTAGTGTTTCGGAAGTGTTATTGCAGAGCAACACAAACAGTACTTCTAAAAACCTAAATATAAATAAATAAATAAATAAATATAATATATATGTATATGTTTGAAAACTGGAACATCACAAAACATTTACAAATAAAGTATAATATCTATTCAATGACTGAGAATAAAATTGTCACTTTCTAGCAAACTGGCTCAAAATATCAAAAATAAAAATTGAATTAGTTTTCAGAAAATGGCTTTTTTTATTTAATAAATTACTTGCACCTCAAAAGACAAAATGCAACAAACGCAGTGGCTTTTAGGCCCCGCTTACACTAATGCGTTTTAGTTTGAAAACGCATAAGTTTTGCTACGGTTACACCATCCGTCCACACTACGCCGGAGTTTTCGAGCGCCGAAAACAGAGCGTTTTGGAAACGCTGGAGAGGCTGTTTTCATTCTAAAACGCTGCTGCTCCGTCTCAGTGTGGATAGGGGGAAAACCGGAGACATCTGAAAACGGAGGCGAGGCTGCTGAGATTCGCTACCTGATTGGGGCTTTTGTGTCATTGCGTATCCTTCCCTTATTCGTCAAGCCCCTATCACATGACTATAATACATGGCGTTAACACTACCGGAAGACAGCAGACCAGCCTTCACTGTAAACAACAACATGGACACAGAAATGGAAGCGTTGTTTACACTATTGTCTGTTTTAGGCGCCATTATGCAGTTATTCATTTGTTGCGTTTAATAACAACTCGACTTTGTCGTCTGTCTACAAAAATACCTCTCTTGCTTTCTTTGCCATCACGTTCATTGTTCAACCGACGTTTTTTGACTAACAATAACCAAATGCCGACGAGACACATGCTTTAATAGAATGCCCATGCCCAGAGTGCGCGAATGGTCACGTGATATACGTTTTTGGTGGCGTAGTGTGGACGGAGATATGTTCAGAAACGCTAGTGTAGATGCGGATTGTTTTTGATCTAAAACGCCTTTTTTTTATAATTATTTTTTAGGGGTTTTCACCTTTATTGATAGGACAGTAGAGATATAGAGACAGGAAAGTGTGGGGAGCAGAGATAGGGGAAGGATCAGTAAAGGACCTCGAGACTGGAATCGAACTCGTGTCGCTGCGAGCACCTTGGTGCTATTTTTCGACACACTAACCACTAGGCTATTGGCGCCAACTAAAACGCCGTTTTAAAACTAAAACGCACTAGTGTAAACGGGGCCTTAGATGCATGCGACTTTAGAATGAACAAAAATAACATTTCAGATATTTTATAATGTAGTTGGTTGGCTGGTTACTCCCAAAAATGCTATCTCACCTCATTCATTTTTATCCTTGCATTTTAATGCACATGCAGGAATTTAATCTGTAAATCCAATGTATTTTTATGCACATTTGGGCATTTCTTTAATGTGATATTGCAAAATGCATATAAAATTGATGGATGGAGACATAGTTAATGTTTTATTTTCCATCATTCTTCATAAAATCTTGTTCTGTGTTCAACACAAACCATAAGTTTAGAACCACTTGAGTGTGAGTAATTGGTAAGGAAATGTTCATTTTGGTGTGAACTGTCCCTTTAAATTAATAGCGACACGCCAAGCCTGAGATTCCACGTAATCCGTCTCTAACGCAATTTGAATCCACAAGCGCTGGTGGTTTTTCCATCTCCCTCAAGGTTATACAGTAGACGCTCATTGACTTGACACATCACAATAGCACACAGCATGGTCCGCCCAGCACCGCCGATTCCCTGCCGGGTTCTCGCTCTCTCAGGCCCAGCTGGTGTGTGTTTGCTGTAAACTGCCGGCCTGCAGATCCCCTTCTCTTCCCCAGCTGTGATTCACTTAGCATATTAAAGAGCGCAATGGTGGATGAGTCCTGTAAAACTGCTTTATTGCCACTCTGCCTTTTTCCTTTCAGACTGTGTGTAAATGAATACTGGAGCCGCGGCAGATCACTTGTAATCGAGCGCAGGGCCTTGTGCACAGGGGGACTATTAGATTTTATAACTGTTTTGTGGTCACGGCCCTTGGGTAACAAAGGTGACGCGCTGCTAAAAGCCATTGCCTTCACGCATACGAGCTAGATGGATTGCTTTTGGATTAATAATAGAGATTTAGCAGTGTATATCGCTATAAATATTATGGATTTTAAATGTATTTTTTCATGTTTGAATGTTTTGCAGTGTTTTCATTCGTTCGTTTATTCATTCATGAGAGAAAATACTTATCTGTTTATCATTTATCTTGTTATAACACAAATCATTTAACTCATTCAAATTTTTCTCAATTCTTTTTACAGTTTGTACAAATTTAAGTGGATTAAACATAAAACTATTTAGTTGTCACAAAAAACCTTGAATTTAGTTTTCAACTCATTTTAAATAAGTAGTTTATACATGCAGCAAAGGTCATTTGACAGTAGCTTTTGTTCTCTATTATTATTATTATAAGGTTTAGGGCTGTACGGTATGTAGTTTCCACATCGATATCGCAATATACACAGGATCTACATTGTCGAACCAGCATTATAATTGACCAGTAGCCACATTTAAAAAAACACTCATGATTTGTGGAGTTTAACCATAAAGTTAGGAAAACCTTTATTATTTGTGTTGTTTATCTTTTAAAATCTTCATGCAAAAGAAATGTGTCTAATTTTAAGACAGAAAAATTGTAATGGCATAATTGAGTACACCTCGTTTTGAAAATAAATATTTTTATCCATTTCTCAGTAAATATAGGCAATGTTGATCTGGTTGATTGTGGTGCATTTAAACAAAACATGTATTAAAAAGAAATATTTATTACAATATTATTTTAGTTAAATTTCAGCGGAAATTTTCATGCCTATTGATGATGATAATAATAAACATTTTAGTTATTTATTTATTACAAGATTGTATAAAGCCTTGACATAGACCATTACTTTATATATTTGTCTGGGTTTACCTATGCGAGTGACTGTTGTTTATCAACTGATATTGGTTATGTAATAAATATTCAATTATTCATGCATTTTCATGCATTTTCTTTCTCTCTATTTGAAGGTTCAAAGGAAAACGCATCAATCTATTATAATGTTGAATGAGTTTATTTAAAACTCATTCATCAAATATTAAATGTAATTGTGATAGCTAAATTTGTTTCATATATGAATAACTCTTGTTGCTGTTTTGAGTCAAAGTTTTAATAAAAACTTTCTGACAATAATAATAACTAATAATAATTAGAATTATAAAATGTTGAAGTAATTGTCAGGTTTTCTCTGGAGCTTCTGTCCACTTACCTCTATCCATTAGATGTGTTAACGTTAGCCCTTAATGTTAGTAAGAGGAAGACCCTTGGAGATCAAAGGTTAACGCTAAAGGAGACATGTGCCACATGAAGACAGGAGCCTGTTTGTGGATCTTGACTCTCGACACCCAATAAGTCACTTTCTAGCCTGTCTTTTCAAACACTGACACTCAGTGACATCCTCTCCTGTCGCTTTATCTGCTAATGATGTTGCTTTCTTTTTTTGCAGAATGGAAATTCAAGTTGGAACGAAGAAGGCGATGGTGGGAGAAGCCGAGGTGAGGCTTCCAGAGACTTTGCCAAGGTAAACATTACTTCTAAAGCTGCTGTTTAGTTATTACACATTCATCATTGACCCACTAACACAGTTTCGCTTGGTTATTTAACTTTACAGAAGCGTGTGAAAGAACCACTCATTTTTTGATTAGACGACTTTTTTCATAATTCGTTTCAGTGTGGTTTCAAGAAAACAAATGATCAAATGTAATACATTGAAATGTTTTTACAACTGGAAAATTGTAATTGTATTTAAAGTGTAATTGATAACCAAAGCTGAATTGTAAGCATGCATTACTTTTATTCTTCAGTATCACCAGATTCTTTAGAAGTCGTTGTAATATGGTAATCTGATGACATTTTTACACAAATATTTGTATCATTAGATGTGTTTCCATTAAAACGGTGCAAATTAGACTTATGCGCAAAACTGTAATATTGCATAAAATGTTTGCCTTTGCATACAGTGAGTCAAAGAAAACAAAATTGTCACTTTTTGATAAACTTAATTATTTAATATTCTCCAGAACTTGAATGTAAAATAAAATACATTGTAAAATAACTAGTGGTGGGCAGTTTTTGGCATTAACGTGCTGTGTTAACGCAAGACTCTTATTGGGCGATTATAAAAAAATAGCCGTTAATCCATTCTCAAAATTTAGTTGGGAGCTGGGTCGATTCTACGCAAGCTATGATGACTTTCACCTTAATAACGTGGATGTATACATGGCCGAATTGCCCTGTAGGGGGCGAGAACGAGTCTTCGAACTTGTGTATTTCTACTGTGAAATTACAACATCAAACATGACATGCTAACATGGATGCAGTTCACTAAAGTGAATCTAATTAACGGTAGCTAAAAAAGTAAAACATATACAAATAAAATGGACCGGGTGCTTTTTAAAACGAATGACGGTGAATTAAAGTCAAACCGATGAGCCGTCTGAAAAAAAATCTGCCCTTCTGGATCAAATCAGCAGGATGCCCAACTGGATCTTTCACTTCTAAAACTCTCCTGACTACGTTTACATGGACATCCGTAATCTAGTTATTTGCCTTAATAGACAATAATATAATTAAGGTGTTTACGTGAAGTGCATGAGCAGCCCAACTAATCTATAACAATGTGTGGATCTTAAAGGAAAATATGGCGAAAAGACCTATACATGATGGTAATCGTTTGAATGCGATGTTTACTTTAATAATGCCACTAATATATGCATACTCCACGTCATAATTCCATTTCTGTTTAGTTCAGTTATGACTTTAGTCGGATAAAGGTAATCAAAAATCACTGTTTCGAGTTTATGTAGGCCTACAGTTCAAAATTCATGTTTAACTAAATAAACAGTTAGTAAACACAAGTACATCTTATTGAACATCATTTATTCTTATCACCAATTATAATAGTAGATCAGTTTCTCAAGCAGTTTGTGATGCATTTTGGAAACAGGAGATGAGCCCTTGGTCTAATACGCCACGTGGCTTGAGAAACCCATTCTCAAAAACTTACTTTTAGTAATTATTTGGGTAGGACACATATTCAAAATGCCTTCGGCAGAATTCAAATGAGCCATTTTAATCTAGATTAATTCCAGGATTACAATGAGATTAATCTAGATTTTAAAAAAATTATCTATGACCAGATAAAAAATATGTAAAAACATTAATTTCTGGAAAAAAAGTCAGTATAAAATCATTATTCCTTTCATTTGCACAAAAGAAAACACATTTGATTTTTCTTAAATGTTGTTTTCTGATTTTAATTATTGATTCATGTTCTGATTGTGATCTGATCTAATCACAATTATTTGCAATAACCATCATAATTCCAGTGCAGTTCACATTTTGCAGACCCAGACTTATGTTATGTGTCGTGCTATGTTAAGGGCTGCAAAATCAATAATATATAAATATAAAATGATAATTATCGATAATGGAATTTATTGTTATTGATTAGTTGGGCTGCTCGTGTGATTGAGGAGTGCTACATAATTAGACTTGAACTGTATTGTTTTGTCAGGTAATTTTCATTAAAAAAAATTCACCATTCATTAGTCGACATGGGAAGATAACCATTTTCAAGGTATGCTGTGGTTTGGAAAAGTCAAAGTATTAAAACCGCCAAAATGTTCTGCTATACCTTTTCTAAGGTATGTGTAAGATTTTTTTATTTACATTTTTTTTAGAACAACAGTATCTCCAGCAGAAAATATTTCCAAAGATGCAGTTTTAAATTGTAAAGAAATCTGTTTTTGAAACGTACGAAATATAAATATTAAGATATATTTTTATCCTAAAATAAAATATATGGTGTTCAAAAGGGATTTTTTTTTTTGTTTTTTTACCTAGATATTTAAAAAGACATATTCTATAGCAGTTATCACAATACTGTGAAATCGTGATATTTTTATTCAAGGTTATCAAACTGTCAATCGTATACCAACCCATGCATATTCATAAGGAATATTGTTAAATTTACAAATTCCAATAAATGAGTATTCCAATCCTTTTTTTCATGGACATAATGATAATAGATGTTTTGTTTAACCCCCACTCAACTAAAGATTTTATGCTATTGTTTACATTTATTTGTGTGTGATGATACCTAAAGGGCTGTGAAATGTGTTTTAGTGTTCAAGTTTTTGAAAACAATACTTTTGTCATCTTGTTTGTATAAATGTCGAACTTTATCATCATGTAAAATGAACCCCTTATTTATTTCTAATAAAAATCTCCCTTGAGTTTGTTTACTAGAATACGGATTGATTGACTTGTTAATTTCACAAATTTTACTCATTTTTAGTCTGTTTTTAAGTCATACAGACCAAAACGTAATGCCGCATTGACACATTTATTAGTATTGTATGAATAAAAATAAAAAAACGAACACTCTTCACTTTATTTTTGCTGGTTTTTGTTTCTCTGAATGATTCTTTTACTTTCATAAGTTAACTAAGTTTCAGCTAAGATTGGAAAAGTTTTGTGTTTTGTTAGTTCATTAACACAACAGTTTTGTGGAACTGAAAGTGTTATCTTTTGAAAAATGGTTTCACAGTTTTTGAAAGCTATTCTGTTGTTTTTCTTAACGGGCATAGTTGTGTATGTGCATATATATGTCGAACTTTGCATTTTTAAATGCTTCATTATGTAAACACACCCTAAATTTACTTGCAATAAAAATCTTCAGAATGAAGCAGAACGAACCCCCAACTATTCTACCCTCCTGCCTCAACCCAGTACTGGAAACCCCCAGCATGCATTTATGTACATGTATATTAGGGCTGTCAAAAGTATTGAGAGTTTGGTACCAATCGCTACTAAAATAAAAAAAAATTGCTAATTACTAGCTAATATTTAAGCATGTTTTTAAACAATCCTGACTGGCAAATGTGTTCACGTGATTTGTTTGCAGTTGGTGAACAGCAGTGAAGCTAAGACCAATCACAGTCATTTCTGTTGAACACAATAGCCAATCAGCGGTGTTTAAGACTGTTCAAAAGTGCTCAAACGTTATCAAGAAATAGACGTTATTAAAATTTTAGTACTGATTGGTATTGAGCGCCATACTTCTCACAATATGTATGTTTATTCTATATATGAATGTGTAAATATACATGCATGCATACATCTACATTGCAAAACCAGAATATCGCATGAAACATTTGTGAATAAAGCATAATTTCTATCAATAAAAATCTTCATTTCACAAGTTAATAAGCTGATTGATTGATTGATTGATTGATTGATTGATTGATTGATTGATTTAATTATGTTTCAGTCTGTTTTTAAATAAACACAATTCTTTGTCAAACAATGTTGCATTGACAAATTAATCAGATTATATAATTTCATTATACAATTAAATATCTGATCTAAATGCAATTTTTTTTATTTTATCATGAATACTGTAATAATAATAGTTTTATCTACAAAATGGCTGACGTAAAGAAGCCTCCGTAAGGTAAACCAATTAATTGTTCACAAATTTAATTTTCAGCTTTACGAACTGGACAATGACCCGAAACGAAAGGAGTTCCTCGATGACCTCTTCGCTTACATGCAGAAACGAGGTAGGAAAGGCTCTTTTAATGCACTTTCTAACACAAGTCCCCCATACAAATAATTTAGCTTCTCTCTTTGGCGACTAGCAATTTCATCGGACACCTACACCTAGCATGGAAACGGCCCCCTTAGTTAAGTGGAATCATATGTCCCTGGTCTCAGATTAGCATACTGTGACAGAAAGATGGGCCTGACGGCGTCATCCGACTAAGACTAAGCTCTCAGCGACACAGCTTGACGGTGCTATTAACCCCATACCCCGGGTTTAAACTCAACCAGATGGAGATCTGTTTGTGTTGGTCTACCATCAAACCCCCAGTAACCACCTACCAGTTTGCGTAAGTGGGGCTGTCAGCTGAGGATTGGTAATGGCCGGGGGATGGGAAAAGTGTGATTTTGCCAAATGTCCATCATGGAGGTCCTCTCAGACATGATTAATGATGTTTTTTTTTTGACTGATGGAGTGTGTGAAATGGACTTCTGTGGGTGACGGTTGTGTGTTATTCAGAAAGTGTTTCAGCGTGTGCCTGCGCTGCTCCTCTTGTCATTCGTTTTGCATCTCGAAACGCAAATATATCTGCCGTAACCGAGACATTCAGATCAGTGGCTGACACAAGTAGCTGGTTTTGTGCAGATTGTGACCTTGTTTTAAGTTTGACAACTTTGAGAAGCGACCAGACCTTTCTGGTTTTGTTGATTCAGATGTCTGGTGTTGCTCTGAAGAGTCTCTGAGGTTGAATGAGAGTTACCTAGCCCTGATAACCAGTTTATTTTAGTGGTCGACAATAGGGCTGCACGATACAGGAAAAATCTGACAGATTTTGCTGTTCTGAGAGATATATATATGGCGATATATAATTTTCCTACATGGCTTGAAATACTTTATTTGTGAAGAACTTATAATTTATTTTGACTAGAATAGATTCCTTAGGGGAGTGCATATGCATAAATATAAGAAACGGACACAGATGAATATAATAAAAAAAAAGATACAAATGAAATAAACTGTTTCATTGTTTTCTGAGGAGTCAATCTGTATTCAGATGTACTATAATTGAATAATCACATGTAAAATAATACTGCATAGTCTTTATTTTATTAATAATATCAATAAAATAGATTTTTATTAAAGTTATCCAAATGATAAATTATAATCTAGACTCAACATTGCAGATTCTGCGACATGACTATTGCGAATGATCACATTGCCATATTGATGCTGAAACGATATATTGTGCAGCCCTAGTCAACATTTATTTATTTATTTATTTATTTATTTATTTATGTCTGAATGAGTGAATGGATGATTGGCAACAACTTAGAAGATCAAGTTATTAATAAAATCCAAGCAGTTTTATTTCTACATTTAGATACATGAGGGTTTATTGGTCTAGATTTATCGGTGAATAAAACTGGTCTTTTTTTGTAATTTTATTCATTAGAAAATTAGTCAATATGAGAATATTAAAGTAATAATTAAATAAGTAATAGGTTTTTTTCACATGACATCATTAATGACGCGTAAAATTCAGATGGAGGGCTGGTAGTGATTGTTCTACATAGGAATCGCTATCAGAACATCAAAATGGTTCTGTTTTATGTTGTTTATAATAGTTTAAATTACCCCAAAAAAGAAATGCTGAACAGCTTTTATAGACTTTCAAAAGTTTTTGCTCAAAGAGGGAAGTTCAAGAAAAACCTGAAAAAACCAAACTAAAACTGACTAAAAACCAAAAGGCTGCGTGTCGTAAACATTTTTTCAATACATCCTTATGTACAAACTTTTTTTGAATGTGATAAATAGTTTGACAGCACCAATAAAGATTATATACAGGCCTAACTATGTATATAAATATGTTAATGTGTTAAAAATCAGATACAATCACCACATCACTTATACAAAATTCAGAAGAATATAAATCAGGGCTCGAAATTCACCTTTTTGCTTTGTAGCACTGGTGCTTCTAACTTCAAACAATTTAGGCGCACCCACCAAGAATTGTGCGAACTGGTACTACAAGTTTTATATATACAGATATATTACTTTTAAAATCAACACTAATTAAAACAAACAAATATCTGCATGCGCTTGTCACTTTAGTTGGTTTCTAAAACAAAATCTGTCTGTTTTATTTTCATTTTCTCATATCCGGACCTTTACATTTTTGCTGCTGTAGCTCCCTGTCATTAACTAATCCATTTACGGGAAGTTCAAGAGCAGTGGGCCAATCAGAAGAGCTTGAAGGCGGGACAGGCATTACAGGATTTGTTTACTGCAGCAAGTTGACAACTGTTTTGGAACATTCCACTGGAGCACTTTTAGGTGCAAAGATCCATTCTGTGTGAATGTCTCCTAAATCCGCGCATGCGGTAAACATTTTGCCGTGAAAACATGTTGCATAGCTCCAAAATATACGTTGCATAGATAAAATTTCAGCCACTTGTGACCAAAAATGGTCGCAATTTCCAGCCCTGTAAATAACGTATCCTGCTATGTAATCGCTGTAATGAAATCTCTGTCTTGTTTTGCAATAATCCAAGTCTTTACTGGCGTTTAGGCAGAATAAACAACCGTAAGGTTAACATCGAGATGTGCAGCTGTAGTGAATGTTTGTTGAAGGTAAATTAAGTTTATAATTAAGTTTATCAACCGAACAAAAAAGAAATGGAACCCTTGCAACAAAACTAGATGGTTATTATACTAAAATAACTAATAATGTAAACCATGCGTCCATGCTTTTGTATGCTTTCATCTGTTTTTTTGTGATACCTTGAAGATGTGGAAAAACTACAGTAATTTTATAATAAACATGATTTTTGAACGACATAGTTAAGTGTATAATGTGTACAACTCTGTTAATGAGTGATGTAACATCAGTGTAAACTGTTGGTGCAGTGTGATGGTGTATATAGTGTGTTTTCCAAAGAGAACTGAAACCATTGTATTTATTACTACAGTGTGTGTTGCACAGCAACAATATAATTACTACGACTTTCAAATGCTTTCAAACGCTATAGTGTTTACTATAATATTTGTTCATGTGATTTATAATTTAAGTTCAGTAAAAACTCAGCCCTCTTTATGATGTAAGGATCATGCCCAACATATTACTTCTTTGAAAATATGGTAAAAATCACAAAAATACAGACCTTCCTCTGTCTTACATTTTAGTTTTTTACTTCCTGCCCTTCATATGAATTTAGCTCGTCATCAGAACCACGTGATTAAAAACAACTGTGAAGATTACTGAAAATGGGTGCACCTTGGTTGAAATAAAAAAGAAACCTTTTTTCTAAATAAATTGGGCAAACTGCACACACACAAACAAACAAATTAATTTTTTATTTTTACTTTAATTATTTTGATGTACAGAATAGGTTTCTTGAGGAAGTTTTATGTTTGATAGAATATTCCAGATTTAATTTAAGTTAAGCTCAATTTACAGCATTTAATATAGTATTTTGCTTTTTATATACCAAAATTGTAAAGGGGATGAAGCCTGAAACATTTCAAAAGAAACATTAATAAAATATGTTAATATTTAGAAATTTATTTCCTTGCCGTGACATGATACTTAAAGTTCTAAAATAATTCTGAAAAGGACTGAAAGAATGACGCAGCTCAAAAGATAAACATAAAAAGTAACCGAAATAAGGATGTAAATCATAACTTTTTTTTTATTTTGACTTGGCATAACTTTTGACGGAGCTTCAGATCCATTGAACCCATAATATTCCTAAACATGCAACACCCATTTTATCCATATAATTTTATGCCATATCCATATATTATGCTTTGATCTTTCTAACTTTACACACACCTATAAAAGTCAGCCTCTGCCCTGTGTATTGTCCACATTAAAGCCCTTGAAACTTGATAAGACGGGAGGAGAACAGAAGCAGTGGCTGCAGGGGAGTTTTGTGGGGATGTTCTCTCTCTCTTTCTTTCTGTGTGTGTGTGTGTGTGTGTGTGTGTGTGTGTGTGTGTGTGTGTGTGTGTGTGTGTGTGTGTGTGTGTGTGTGTGTGTGTGTGTGTGTGTGTGTGTGTGTGTGTGTGTGTGTGTGTGTGTGTGTGTGTTGATTGGAGGGAGGGGGGGGGACCTCTTGCTCGGGGCCTGAGGGGATCAGATAGAGGGTGGGTGAGGTGGATTAAGGGGCCCCTGTCCCTCTCCTGAAGATTAATGAGACCCTAAAACTCAGGGCCCCACCTTTGATATCAGAAGAATGACAGACAGTAGAAAAGCAAAGACAATGGAGTGACTGCTGAATAACAGCGGGACGGGGAGGGGATTGCATGGATGAGAGGAAATGATGACAAGATGAGTAGAGAAAGAGAGGGGGGTGTAATGTTGGAATGCTGGAAAAACAGATAGCCAAGTTGAGCGATTAAAGAGTTTGTTGTATGAAAAAGTATATAAAAATAAGTCACAAATAAGAGTTTTGATGTATTTGTTTATAGAGCAGTGTAAAGCTGATTATCTAATTCTAGTATTATGAGTTTTATGTTAAAGTCCCTCTGAAATCAATATTGAAGTTGTTGTTGGTTTTTTTGGCTATTTGTGTTTGTTTGGTTTTTTATTATTGAATATATATTATTTATTAAATATGTTTGCTCAATGACTAAATTTGCATTTAGAAGATATAAGCGTTAAAAACCTGACTCCAAACTCCAAAATGGATTGTTTTTTGATACATAGGCTGCTTGTTACATCTTCTGACCAATCAAATACTCTCTTGTTTCTGTAGTATTGAAGCAGCTGAAGTCGACCATTTAATCATTGATTTATTGAACAATTCTGTGAACCACCCTACACACACACACAAAGCGCATCAGATGCATCACAATCACAAAAATGTATCAGACCCATTTGAATTGCATTGAATGCTGTATTTTGAAGCAGAGAATCGGTTAGAGTAGGTTTGTTGCCAACTATTTTGAATACAAAGTAGCTAAGCTCTGGTTGGTCGCTAGATGATGGCATACTTAGATTTGCATATACTGACTGAC